TAAAAAAACTCCAGATCCGTGAATCAACAATTGTACCGTTCACCCTCCAAGATCCTCACAAAGTGTATATTTACAACTTGAATATTGATTTCGATGGAATTTTAGGGTTGGATTTCCTAGAACATTATCAATTTTTGATAGATTTGAAAGCTAAAGAACTTGTAACTAATTTCAAAACTATCCCTCTTCATAAAGTTACTGAAGATGACTACCCTAATAATGCAAAACCAAACAACAGTCAAACAATTCTTAACAAAATATCTATAGAAGCTAGAAGTGAAAAGATCTTTAAACTTAAGTGTAATCTATCCAACACAGAGGCCTTACTCTTTTCTCAAGAAAAAGAAAAAGTCAAATTACCTAATGCTTTAGTAAAAGTCAATGAACAAGGTGATATTTTAATCTCAATTATAAATATTAACGCTATAGAGAAAACCATGGAGTTTTCGAACTTGTCTATCAAACCATTTGTCTCAGAAAGTGAAACTCAAAAAACTATGCTAAGTTTTCACAGCTCTAACCTCGACTATGACGATACTTATGATAGGCAAATGTCCATACAAAATGAACTTCGTACTAAACGTTTAAACGACGAAGAAAAAGAACTAATTACCAACTTATGCCTGAACTTTTCCGACATTTTCTACCTGGAAGGTGACACGCTCACATTTACTAATGAGATTAAACATCCTATTGACACCAATAATGCAAAGCCTGTGTGTACCTTATTTTACAGGTACCCTGAAATCCACAAAGAAGAAGTCAAATCCCAAGTCAACAAAATGCTAGACCAAGGCATAATTCGCCATTCTGTATCTCCATGGTCGTCCCCCGTCTGGGTCGTTCCTAAGAAACTTGATGCTTCTGGCAAACCCAAATGGCGTGACGTAATCGGCTACCGTAAAGTCAACGAACTTACTGTAGACGACAAATACCCGCTGCCTAATATTTCCGATCTTCTGGATCAATTGGGAAAATGTCAATATTTTACCCACCTTGACCTAGTCTCAGGTTTTCACCAAATAGGAGCAGACCCCAAGGATGTTTCGAAAACCGCTTTTTCTGTAGAAAATGGCCATTACGAATTCGTACGTATGCCCTTTGGATTGAAAAATGCCCCATCCACATTCCAAAGAGTCATGGACAATATTCTCTTTGGCATTCAAAACGGAAGATGCTTAGTCTACGTGGACGATATTATCGTTTACTCTTCTATCATCCACGAGCATATTTCAAGGCTAACCAAAGTTTTTAAACGCCTCCGGACACCTTATCACTCAAGACAGTGTGAAACCGAACCCTGCAAAAATTAGTTGTATGCAGAACTACAACCCCAAAATCCAAAAGACATTAAATCCTTCCTAGGATTAGCAGGATATTATCGTCGATTTATCCCCAATTTTGCTAAAACATCAAAGCCCTTGACAAAACTCCTCCAGAAAGATGTTCCATTTCACTTTAACCCAGAATGCATATCCGCATTCAACGAATTGAAAGACGCATCAGTTTCTGACCCGATTCTGATCTATCCCAATTTCGAAGAGACATTTCTATTAACCACCGACGCAAGCGCTTTTGCTATCAATGCATTTTTGTCACAATGCCCTATAGGAAAAGATCTCCCTATAGCCTATGCCTCTTGAACGCTGTGCAATGCCGAAATTAAATACTCTGTCATAGAGAGAGAATTACTGGCCATTGTACGGGCAGTTAAGCATTTTAGACCTTACCTCTTTGGTCGAAAATTTGTCCTTATCATAGACCATTGCCCTTTAACTTGGTTTTTCTTAATTAAAGTCGTTTAGCTCGAAGTTGTTTAGCACGCTGGCGCTTGAAACTCGAAGCATACGACTTTCGAATCGAGTATAAACCTAGGAAAATCAATAAGCACGCTGATGTCCTATCTCGAATAAAAGTAAACTACTTTAAACATTGTTCAGATTTAAGCTCCAAAATTCACATACTCGCTTCTAACAAAGAAGAACCTGATATTGACGATATAAGAAACCGCCCCTCTACAAGTCAACAACAACAAGAAATTTCAATCGTCGAAATTGGAAACAATGATGAAACAACCCTAATTGACGAAGAATACAACTCTTTCGTAAATCTCTACAAAACCAGATCAATTATTGACTACTCAAAGATAGAGATTTCTAACCTACAACTTCTGGACAAGTCTCACAAAAATATTGTAACGTTTTTTTCGCAAACCAAACTGACAGACTTATATTACAAAATTATAGATGATCTCTTCGAGGAATATTTCGATTTTCAACCTAATCAGGTTAACATTTTATCCAGCAAATCTGTGAAGGCACGCAAAAACTTCATAATTCCCATTCCTTGCAAAAATGAGAAAATAGTCCCTACTCTCTTTTACTCGCTTTTCAATTGTCAAAACGAATTTGACCCTGAAATAACCTTTTGCATAGAAAACAATCTGGAATTACCTATTCTTGAAATATTTTCCTTTATATTTGCCGAAAAAGACATTAAGCTCAAGATATGCCAAAATATCGTCAAAACCCCAGATCAAGGCCAAATTCCAATTATCCTAAACCAATATCATACTCGAAAAACAAATTTACATCGTGGAATCAATGAAACCGTTAGAAGGATACTCCTGGCAAGGTTTAACCAAAGATGTTGAGAAATTCATCAGAGCCTGTGAAATCTGCCAAAAAGTCAAAATCTGTAGGAAAAACCTTAGTTCTCCTCTCGTTATCACTGAAACTCCCAAAACTCTATTTGAGGATAAACATTGACCTTTTTGAATTCCCAGTTCGTAACTACGCCCTAACAGTTAGGGATGAACTTACCAAATTAACTCAAGCCTACCCAATCTCAGACAAAAAGACGTCCATAAATGTTAATACCCTACTAGTATTCTTCCAACATTACGGTACACCTTTGAGAATGCACTGTGATTGTGGAGGTAAATTCAACAACGCCTTACTCAAAGACCTCTGTCAACTCTACGACATAAAATTGACATTTTTAAGCGTAAGCCACCCAGATTCCAACGGATCGCTTGGAAGATCTCATGCAACGTTTAAGAACACCCATTCAACATTCTCCCGTACGCAGTTATCTGTTATAATAATACCAAAAATAAGACACACGGATTCACACCTTTCGAATTAATCTTTGGCCATACGTCGAATAGACCCTCTGAGACTCATTATTATCAAAAATAGCTAATCTTCAAATACATACGAGACCTCAACAACAGAATGGAATATGATTATTAAATGGCTCGAGCCAGAACCGATATTTAGAAAGAAAAGTCGAATGTAAGGTTTGACAAGACGGTCTCACAAAATCTTCCAGCTCGCCAGGGTTCGTGGGTTACACTTTCTTCTCATGAATAAAAATTCATTTAACTCACTAGGTGTATAAATAATTATTATAATTAATAAAAGTCTTTAGAAAGTCCTGTGTTCAATTGTGGAATACATAACACTTTAAAGGCATATAGGTACTGAAACCAGTTTGGGCATATGGTATTCAACTTTAGGGTGGTACTAAAGAGAGTAACATAAGCTATACAAAGATTCCAAAATAAAGTACTAAGAAACATTGTTAATGCACCTTGGTACGTTCGAAATAGTAACCTACATCGTTCCTTAAAATTGAAACTCTAACAGAGACTGTAAGAAAGTACGTAAAAAGCCACGAAGATAGACTACATTGGCATATGTGAATGAAGAATCGATTGAGCTACTATACAACACTGAGCTAGTTCGAAGACTAAGAAGGGTGAAGCCGTTTGAGCTAGTGAACTAAAATTAAAAAACAAAATAGCGCTATTAACACATCAAAATTGTGATTTACCTACTGTTTAAGTAAAGTGGGGAAAACTGTTGAGTGAACCTCAAGAATTGTAATCTTTATAGTACATTAGGTTAAAACAAAACTTACTGACTTAGATTCTTATGTGTTTGAAAAAAAAAATATTATTCCAAGTAATTTTGCTTATAATAAATTGCACTTATCAATAATGTGTTTGTTCAATGAAACCAATGATTAAAAGGTCTCTCCACTAGATTAAGATTTAACCCTTTTTCATTGAATAATTCATTAAAATAATGCATTTATTATCAAGTAATTATTGCCATGACAGGTTTATTTTTAATGACATTCAAGAACTTTCTCCATAAACATCTGTAATGAGTAGTTAAATTAATTTTAATCTCATCAGAAAACCACTAAAATTTAAACCTTTTCTATGAGAGCTATCAAACAAAGGAGAACTTAGCAAGATTGACACCAAATTCATCTAATAGTTAAAAAAACTAGAGTGCTATCAAAAATATTCTGCAAACATAATATTTGCGAAACATGTTTTCCTTTCCTATAATTTTCTTGTAAAATCATAACGTCAACTGAGTGTTGTAACTCACAAATTTCTTCAATAACAAATTGACGTAAGGCACTTTTTCTCCCTGGGGAGACAAATAACGTTTCCTCTTTTGCTATGACAACTATTGATCTTTTCGAATTGATTTCGTAGAATTATCAACGGCGTTGATTCATCAACTACCCACACAATGATTTTTTTTCATCTTTAAGAGGAAATGGTATATACTTTGCTCCCTTTGTTTTAAAAATAACTATTTTTCGACTAATTTAACTCAAGTTGTTTTTAATTAGTTTTCTAGTGGAAAAATATATTTTTTGGTCTAGATGAATAATGATCTCCAAGATTTTATGGTTTTACCCAATAAAAATCCTATAAGTGACCATTTATTTCCCAAATACAGGTGCATATTTCAAAAAACTTTCAAACAACGACAAATCTGAAAATACATATATTTATCAAATAATTATCAATATGGGTGGTGAAATCAAAGAAATAGTTAATCATCCAGGCAGTTGCCTCCGAATACAAATTCCTTATCAAATTCATAACAATTACGAAATCGCGCCAAAATTGAAAAAAACATTGTTTCTTAAGCATGAATCAATAAATTCCTCATTTAAAACCGATAACTTCTATCATTAACCGACCATTCGGTTACAGACTTTCACGCAGTGTAAATCGCGCGCATTATATAAAAACTAGTTTTGACAAATTTTCTTTTCGATTCAAATAATCAAAAATGCGTGTAGCAATTATTGGAGCAGGTGCTGCCGGTTTGGCAACGGCAAAACATGTAGCAAGTGCCAATATGGATTTGGATGTTTTCGAAATGAGGGAGGAATTGGGTGGTACTTGGGTTTATACTGATGATGTTGGTAAGGATCGGTACGGATATCCGGTCTATTCTGCTATGTATAAAGGCTTAAGGTAAGAATCTTCAAATTCTAATCAAGTACAGTCCACATTATCAAAATATGCTCAATTTAAATTTTATATGTTAAATGAATGTTGTGGGTCGCCGAATTTATCATGTAGGTGTCTAGTATTTGCGACATTAATGTAATTTGTAAAAAGTGAATTATTCATTGATGAGGATTTGATTGTTACTAAAATGTAATCATTTTTAAATTTTATTATTATGCAACAGTGAAAATGAGTTTTTTCGAAACTGAAACATGTAGGTACTTTCAGATAACTTAATACCAAACCAAGGGGTACAAATAATTTATTTTTCACTTAGAAAGGTACTAGGGTAATCGACCACATTGTACCAAGACATTTATATTTAATCAATAAATGTTCATGTTATTAATTGAACATAAGAGTGCCTAACTTACTTAATGGAACTTCCACCTGAGACTTCTGTCAATATATGCTAACATATTTGTTTTTTGGCAATTCTAGCTACAAGCTCATTAAATTTTTAAAGCCTCATTTCATTTACAGATATCTAATTATTTATCAATCAACTAGTGAACTCTTTGATTTGATGGCACGTCCGGGTCCATAAAAAATAATAATTGGATTTATCGAAAATATTTTTTTAAAGATTATTACATTGAAAATATGTTTGATAAAACTAACCCAATTAGTTGTTTGGCAACGCGGACTCAAAAGCATGATAAATGTTTAAATTATTATTTCACAAGTGAAAGCTAACTTAGGGCGGGTATTATAAAACTACTTTGAGAGTTAACTTAAAGTTAACTTCTGGAATTACATGTAATTCAAAAAGTTAACTTTAAGTTAACTGTCAAAGCAGTTTTATAATACCCGCCCTTATAGAGGATTCTGAGTGTTTTTCTGTCCTGTAACTAACCGCACACAGAGTATGGCCATTTTGAAACCAACTATTTAGGTGGTGCTCAATTTAAATTTTAGTAGTAGATACTGTAAACTGTAACTATCGAGGCTGACCAAAAACATTTTTAAAAAAGATTACTTCAAAATAAACCAAAACATCAGCGCGAAGATAGGAAAAATGTCTCTCTAACAAACTTGGCTCCCAAATTTACCAAATATCATAAAAACACATTATCATTTTTAAAAATTTTCAAGAGTCAAAAAGAGTAATTTTCGAAAAAAGTTGATTATTATACAGGGTGTCCTTAGATAAACTGACACATTTTGCAGGTAGATATCTCTAAAACGAGAAAAGATAACGAATGTGGTTTGTTCTGGAAGAATAAGGATTTTTTAAAGTTTTTTTTTTCATACTATTGCCCAATCGTAAAATTTGGTTTTGGTTTTACAGACATGCGATGTTTTGAAATAAGGATACTGCCTTATTTTTTAAAAAACACCCTGATTTTGCTACTCTTCAAAAATTTATATAAGGTACCTGTCCCAAATAAGGCCATGTTAAGAAGATTTTTTTTTTTCTCATTATTCACCAAACCCAACAAAAATCACGAGCTTATATGTGAAGTATTTCGCTTCTATAACTTGAATATTAACACCAATTTATTTATTTTTTTATATAAGTGGTGGTTTTTGCGTAAAACAAAGACTCCTACCATTGGCCTTATTTGGATCACTATGCTCCTAATAAGGCCACTATTAAAAATGTTTAAAATAAATACAAATTATTGGTAAAAATATTATTTTTTGAGTAATAGTACACAAAATAGAACTTAAACGCTTACTGCATTCTAATAAAAAACAATAATTTCAAGTCCTGGGATGGTGATCCAGATAGGTCTACATACAACTAGGACAAATGAACTGCAGCTTCTCTTGCTTGGTTACACTCCAGGCGTTCTAAAACACATCACTTAGGTAATAATATGACAGATTCTTTTAAAAAAACACTATGATGTGAAGCCAGTTGAACATTTTCCATATTATGGCCTTATTAGGATCATGTTACATTGATGAAAAAAAATCTGTAACTAGCAAAGATATAAGTCTGTACTTACTCTGTAGCTTTCTCAATACATAAATGTCCGTGTAAAAATTACATTCGCTCCATTTACTTCATAAACATGTGTATAAACTAATTAAGTTCCAGCCTCAAAGTTATAACGTGACATATGAAATATGTGGTTGGTCATTTTTCGACATATAACGAGTTGCTAGGAACCCTCGCAATAATTTTTGATTTGCATTATAGATTTCTTTTTTAATATTATTGTAATTTTTGAAAATGGGATTCAATATTAAGCAATAAAGGGCATTGGCCTTATTAGGTACATGGCCTTATTTGGGTCAAGTACCTTATTTCTTTAATTATCTTAAAATTGCATCATACATATAAGATGCACTTTGTTGTGAAGGTTTTAATAAGTTAATGAAAGTATTGAACACAAATAATAGTAATTATCGATTTTTTTTCCTTTAAGTCAGAGAAAATTCATAATTTCATTTATGTCATACCAATACATTCTTGTGTTTTTATACCTTAGATACCATCTACATAATTCATTACTTTATGCCCGTGCGGGCATAAAGTAACTTTATGGCCCGCGCGGGCATAAAGACGCAAAAAACAGTTTTCAATTAACTTATTCTTTATTAACAAAATATAAATTTACGCTGATAAACATATTATTTTTGTCAAAAAATTATGATGTTTGCACACTGATGACAATTTGCGAAGTGACACTTTTTTCCCAGGTATTTATTCTTCACAACCAACTGGTATGACATAAAAGTTTGTATGCACCACGGGTACTAATAGATATATATACCCTCGGGCGACTTACGAACCCTCGGGCCAGAGGCCCTCGGCTTTGTAAGACTGTCGCCCTCAGGGCATAATCATCTACTTAGTACCCTTGATACATAAATAACTATTATGAATCTGAGATCCATTCACAGTTTGTTCTGTTCTATAAAGGTACTCAATAAATTCTGAGTTTGAAATCCCTCTGATTGCTTGAAGTATTTTTCAGAAGCTGTTAAAGGTGATTCAATAGAAATTTTACATGTTTTTTTTGCATCCAAGTGAGAAAAAAGTTTATAATTCCATTTCTGAGCCTGAGCTTGCGGTTTGTTCTGTTATGCAGATAAAAAGACCCTACTCAATAAATAAATCCTGAAAATTTGAAGTCCCTCTGATTGCTTGAATTATGTTTCTTTTTTTTTGCCAGTTGATGGTTCCCCTTTTTAACAAAGTGCAATTTTTACGATGTGATTTCGATATACATATTTTTTAAAAAATTATACAATTTTGAAAAGAAGAAAAATTTGGCTTTCTGACGATGACAAAATATACAAGGTATTTCATTGAAACTAAGGCAGTAAAATCGCAGGTCTGTAAAACCAAATTTCAGCAAATTTTAGGATTTGGCAATATACCTACTGTAAAAAAAAAACCTATTCTTCCAGAACAAACCGCATCTAGTTATCTTTTCTCGTTTTCGAGATATTACCAGCAAAATGTGTCAGTTCATCTAGGACATCCTGTATAAAATATCTGAGCCAAAAATACTCAAAAATTTTGATTGTTATTGGCTTTTTATTCTTCTGAACGTAATCAAGAACATGGTTATAATCAAAATTAGAAGAAATCAAGAGCCAGTTAATAATCTAGTGCTATAGGTTTTTTATGTCATATTTAGGATGACGTCACTGTACAAGGGCAGACAATGTTGTCAATGCCCATTTTTTTTCTTATAATTTATCAGAATGTCATGTGTCAATAATTCTGACGACAGCTGAAAATAACGAGATGAAAATGTTTATACAAATCATGCAACGTCGCGCGCTGTTGCCAACCAAAAACATTTGAAATTCCAAAAAGTACTTTTAGTTTTGTTAGGTTGGCAGCAGAAATTTACTAAATGTGACGTCATCCTAAAATATAGTGTAAAAATCCTATAGGACATATTTCATTAAGAGGCATCTCACATTTCAAAATAGGCGCATTTTCTACAGTAAATTGTAGCTAAACTACTCGATAGTACCTATTAAAAAAATATATATTGAAAAAGTAGTCCATGACTCAGAGTGCAGTTGAAATTTGAAATCAAAAGAAGCACAAAGTCTTCCCCCACATAAATTTTTTTAATTGAAAATTAAAGAGTCCTGCATGTTTCAAAGCTATAGAGCTTCATCATCAAGGGAAAGTTTGCTCCATATTACTTATATACTTTTACATTATTTATTCCAAGCCGCTGAACTTAGCTATAAAGAGAAGCGGTTCAAATAAATAATGTAAAACTATGCAAACTTGCCGCTGATGATGAAGCTCCATAGCTTTGAAACATGTAGGGCTCTTCAATTTTCAATTGAAAAAAATTGTGTGGAGGACAAAGCTGGGCAGTAGTTAACTACTACAAAAGTAGTTGACTACGTACTTAACTCCCTTTTTTTTAAAAGTAGTTGTATTCTTACTATTTTTTTTTCCCAGTAATCATACTCGATTATTTTGTTTTGATGAAACATTTGCAAAAAGTACGTAAAATATGAGTTAACTACTCAGTTATAACTATTTTACGTATATTAACTACTTTTGCGTATTTTGATTACTTTTGTGCAGGTTAACTACTTTGAAAAAATATTTAACCACTTTGCTATACCTCGTGCTAAACAGTTAGAACAAGTTCTTGGAATTAGTTAAGCTGTGCTTCAAGCTTCCAGTAACCAGTAAGCGTTTGCTTTTATTGTTATAGATATTTTTTTGTAGTTACGGCACCCAACCCGGATGGTTTGTAGTTAAATTTTTAACTACTAAATACTTGGTAGTTAGTAATCTAAACTCATTTTCTAAGAAGTAGTTTAACTACAAAGTAGTTAACTTTGTAGTTGAACTATTATTAAGCTTCCATTTTAAGAATTATCAAAAAAAATAAACGAAAGTGCACCTGTTTTTTTAATATGTTCCCGATATGCTCTTGAAATTTGAAATTATTTAATGCCGTAAAACAGCCTACCGGGCTCAAGCTCTTTACAAAAACTAAAGTATTTTACTTGAAGTACAGTGGATAGACGGTACTTGGTACTTGAACTATTTTTAACAATGTACCTACTTTGCATTGTTCTTGATTTCATCAAGTACAAGGACTTGAAGTACATTGAAATGTATGTATGTACCGGGTGTTTTTTTATCTTTGATATCATTTTGATCACCTGTAACTTTTTTTTTTGACGTTATCAAGGTAAACAAAAAAATTTGACGTATTTAATTTTTTACTATCACTTCCGGTTTGACCGGAAGTGACCCTAACTTTCTTATTTTAAATGAGACGCTAGGTATATTTTTCCTCATTTTAATAGAAAACTACATTACGAGTACAATGACACCTCATTTGTCACTTTTTGACATTTCATCACCAAATTATTACTTTTAAATCTAGAGCACCATGAATAAGTCAAAATGCTTAATTTTGCTCCTAGGAACATGGGAAAATTTGTTTTGATCTTATTTTGTATTTTATATCCTCTACAGACTCATTTAAAGATAGTAGAAGCGCATTTTTAGAATTATATCAGTTTTTTCAAATGGAAAGGGTATGGCTCATGAGCATGTTCCAAAAGAGCGTTTTCTAACGAGCAATTCAGTACCACACAATCGCTAGTTCATCACTCAAATTAGGAATTTTTCTAGCATTCTAAATATTTTTGGAAAATTTTAGTTCAATATTTGAATAAACTAGCGATGGTGTGGTACTGAATTGTTTGTTAGAATATGCTCTCTCGAAATATGCTAATGAGCCATACCCTTTCCATTTGAAAAAATTGATTTAATTCCAAAAATGCGCTGCTACTAACTTTAAATGAGCCTTTAGAGGATATAAAATTCAAAATAAGCTCAAAACAAATTTTCCCATGTTTCTAGGAGCAAAATTAAACATTTTAACTTATTCATGGCGCTCTAGATTAAAAAGTAAAAATTTAAATAATTTGGAGGTGAAATGTCAAAAAGTGACAAATGAGGTGTCATTGTACTCGTAGTTTTCTATTAAAATTAAAATGAGGAAAAATTTACCTGGCGTCTCATTTAAAATAAGGAAGTTAGGGTCACTTCCGGTCAAACCGGAAGTGATAGTAAAAAATTGAATACGTCAAATAATGCACATCCGGGTCATAAATAAACACACCAAATTTCATTTGTTTATTTGAAAAAATAAAAAAGTTATAGGGGTGAGTGGGTTTTGGAAAACACCCGGTATAAGCCTACATTATATTTTTTTAATGGAACACCCTGTATATGTGTTCGATAGTATATTTTATTCTGATTACAATGATATAACACACTTCATATTTTGGTCCACTCATTTTTGACAAATCGGCAAAAATATGAAACTCTTGAAGTGAAACTTTACGCGGGGGTCTGATATTTGGGATGAGAATTATTGAGAATATTGGAAGTGTATATAAAAATTTCATATTTTTTTGTTGATTTGTCAAAAACGAGTGGACTAAAACATGAAGTGTGTTATATCATTGTAATCAGAATAAGATATTCTATCGAACATACATATAATATACAGGGTGTTCCATTTAAAAAAATATAATGAAGGCTTATATGTCAAAAAATTGATAGTGTTTTGTTTTATGTGTAACTTGAAAAAAAATTTGGCTACTAACACTACATTTTGTTTTTTTGCTTACCTTGATAACTTCAAAAATATAGATATATTCGATCGTCTTTTCATTTAGTATTCGTATTGTGTCAAGATGATCTATAGTGCTGTAGCTCTTTATAACCTGCGTGTTTTTCGGATTGGAAATCATAGAATTTCCTTTCTAGGCGGTAGGTGATTATTCTCATAAATAGTTTGAGACAGAAGGCTTATGGGTCTACAGTTTTCAAGATTTGATGGGTCTCTTTTTTTGTATATTAGAACAAAGATGGCAGTCTCCCACCAGTCGTGTATGGTATTGAATATTTATTGAAAAGTGTTTCTCGATTTTGATGTGAGAATGTCATTATTCTAGTTGTTTCACAAGGTATTCGCCTGCCTCCTTCAGCATTTCTGGTAATATATCGTCCATTCCTGGGGCTTTTCCGTTGTTGAATTGGTTTAGCGCTTTTGAAATTTCTGCCTCTTCTATATCAGGGGTCTCTTCTGACCCAACATTTGAAATTTTGGATGTTTCGCTTTCTTGTTTGTTGGTATTTTCGTTGTTGGTTTCTACGTTGTATAATTCCTTATAGAAATTTTCCGACACTCGCAATATTCCATCTCTGTCTTCTTTAATGTTTCTTTGTTTGTCCATCAGCTTTGTAATTTCTCTTTTGTGTGCGTTCTCCTTTTTGAAAACTTTTAAGCCTTTTTGTTGTTCTATCAGTTTTTCGATTTGTGTTTCTTGATAGTTTTTGATGTCTTGTTTTGTCATCCTTCTGGCTATTTTGTTAGTCTCTCTGTATTCTGGTGTATCTTTTTTTCCTTGTTTTATGAGGTGTCTGCTTCTCTTCTCCAGCATTTGTTTTGTTTCTTTGCTAAATTTTTCTGGCCTACCTTTTTGTTCCATGATATTTTTTGCTGATTTTCTTCTATTAATTTGATTTATGTCTTCGTGGGGTTTCATGGGGTCTTTTTTCAGTTTTTCTGTTAATTTTGTTGCGAATTCTGTTTTCTGTGTTTTACTGGTATGTGTACTTAATTTCTTTTGGGGGCGGTTGAATTTATTTTCTATTTTCAATCTGCTATTTATGGCTATTTTACATCTTACCATTCTATGATCGCTGAGAGTCCTGAATGAGCCAAGACGTCTACATCCTGGATTATGTGTTTTCGATGTGTCAGTATAGAGTCTATTTCGTTTTTTTGTCTTTCTATCTGATGGGCTTGCCCATGTCCATTTTTTGTTAGTATTCTTGTTGTTATGTATATTACCCTGTCAGATTTGCTTTTGAGTATTTTTAGATATGGGATCATTCGTTTGTGTATCAGAATTCCATCAGCTTCTCCATTACTGCTACTATCATTAACTTTATAGAATAGGATGTGATTTGATTTAAGTCTCAGACATTTTTCTCCTCTTCTTCTGACTTCTGCCAGTCCCACTATGTCCCATTTTATTCTATCAAGTCTCGATTACCTTTAGAAAAATTATCCAGCGAATCAAGAGACGGTAATAGTCAGAATTTGAACTATTTTGACTAGATGATGTTTTCTTCTTTTCCTGATGGTTTCATTTTAATAAATTATCTACCATGTACCGGGTGATTGTCTATATTTTGCACCCACACTTATCTCACCTGTTTGAAGAGATACCCAAAAATGTCAAATCTGAAAGTTGTAGGTAATATCACAAAGTTTTCAATGATGTTAGTTACAAGTATACAGGGTGTGTCGCAAAAGTGTGGCGAAGCAAAGCTATACTTTTTAAAATGGTGAACCCTGTATAGGTAATATTGTCCCATTGGATTACTCTTTCAAACCTGATTCCAAATATACTAGGTTTTTTAGGTTTATTTTTCATAGTCCAGCTTCTGAATATCCCATTTTGAAGAAATAATATGGATTTTTTACATGAATGATTACCTTTATATTTTGCTGGTAGTCTCTATACTTCACCTTTTTCAATAAAAATGCAATTACTCCATCCCTTTCTGTCCTTATTTTCTCCTGAACTATTAGGAATAAACCTAAAAAATCTAGTATATTTGGAATCAGGTTTGAAAGGCTAATCCAATGGGACAATAATATACAGGGTTTTCCACTCAAAAAAGAATAACTTCGCTTCGCCACACTTTTGTGACACTACCTGTTTACTTGTAACTAACATAATTAAAAACTTTCTGATATTACCTACAACTTTCACATTTGACATTTCTGGGTATCTCTTCAAACAGATGAGATAGGTGTGGGTGCAAAATATAGACAATCACCCGGTACCTACTACATGAATAATAAATAAATCAATTAAAAATTTCAAAAGTCGAGACGATACTAATAACTCAATCTAACCTTTGTATTTAGGCCATGCCTCGTACCATGCAGAACAAACCATCGTGAAATTATTATTTTCGAAAATAATCCCCTAAAGATAAAGCTTGTTTTTGCAAATTAACATAGCAACTAAATTGTATTGAGCATTTTTTGTAAAAAAAACAGTTTGTTAAATAAGATATCGCTTATGTAACATAATGAAATGTAGCAATATATTATTTATTTTTAGGACAAATCTTCCCAAAGAAGTAATGGGATTTCCTGACTTTCCCATACCGGATCAAGAACGGTCTTATTTAACGCAAGCTGAAATTTTAGATTTTCTCAAACTCTATGCAGAAAAATTTGACTTAATCAAATACATTAAGGTATTTAGTCAATTTTTAATATTGCGTTTGAAATTTTTATCAACCGAAATATTTTAGTTTAATACAATGGTAATGGATATTTCTCCAGCTGACAACAAATGGAAAATAACTACAATTCACAAGCCTAGCAAAAAAGTGACTACAAATGTGTACGATTCTGTTATTATTTGCAATGGACACTATAATGATCCCATAATACCCACATTAAAAGGTAAGATTTTCAAAAAACTCTTATTTGTTTCAAAGCTTTTTTTCCATTCATATAAATTTTAATGTACATCAACAAAGGATGATGTCTCCAAAAATTCCAGATTCCATTGACACTGATTCAATCTAAGGAGGGCACACAAGAGCTCTTAGGTTATCAATGTTGTACTTTAAAGTTAGAAATTATATCCTTCTCGAGTATACCTTTAAGCTCTCAGAAATTATACCCTTGTTAGATCTAGGTACTTATGTAAACCATGAAAACTTTATTCTCTTCTGACTCGCTCTTATGCTAGATTGTTGATTCCAATGAGAGTTCCACATTTAAACTATCAATTTTGTTAGAGGAAGAAGCTTACTTATATTTTTTATTTCATCTCAGGCAACTTTTGAGACCCAAAATCTGCTCTTTTGACCCTCTAACATTTATAAACGATACACAGCATAATCTTGAGCTTGGGTAATCATACATTTAAATAATCTTTCATAAAGTGTAATAGTTCTAAATCAACAAGCATTTTTTTTTCAATTTTTTAGATATTTACAAGTTGGGTAATTATATTCCTACAGTACAATAATCAATAAGATGTTTACCAAAGAGCACTGGAAAAGTTTAGGAGACATGTGACCTTGAACACTTTATTTCATAAACACACAAAGCGAAAACAATAGGAGCATTTTAGGTGATATTACATGAATATTGTTTTATACTGTGTAACATAAAACACCCAAGGCTTCTTTTTAGACCGGAAAGCATGTTTCACATACAGTCTTCTGGCATAGGAAATATCACCAAGAATTCAGTGTCCCTGTTTTCTTTATACGTAAATGAAATAAAATGTCACATGTTAGATAAAACCTTTCCGTTATGGACTTGTTTTGAATATCTTAATCTTTAGAATAGTTATTTTTTGTAACAGATCCTAAAATCGAGTTGCTGTTTATCAGACGAGTTCCAAAAAGTTGGATTTAGGTACAAACAACATTTTATTGTTAAAGCTCCAAAAAACACATCCATGCCATTTACTCAAATATTTCTTTGGATTTTTCCAAGTAAAGTTAACCTGTAGACATAATGGATAGCTCATAACTCATGTTAATTGTACAAATTTTGTCTTGTGAAGCATATTCATTAGTTCCTTCATTTTTTATTTCCTCTCCTTGGAAAACTTCAACATTGTTATTCACCATTCAAAAAGAAATTAAGCAAAGGGTAAAAATTATCAATGTTTCTCTATAATAATGTGTATTTTTTTAGGCCAAGAAAACTTTACTGGTATCATCGCTCACAGTCACGACTACAGAGAGCCAGAAAAATTCAGGAACAAAAGTGTGCTGGTGATTGGAGCCGGTCCTTCCGGCCTGGATTTGACTTTGCACATTTCAAACGTAGCTGAGCATGTAAGTGTTAACACATTCGCCTGAGAAATAATAAAAAAAATTAACTTCAGGTTACATTAAGTCACCACGTTCCTGAACCAATCAAAACTCAATATCCGCCTAATGTGGACATGAAGCCTGACGTTCAAAGAATTCTCGAATTTGATAAGGTAATTATATTTGGCTAGAGACTTGAAAATACTATTTTTCAATTGCAGGTTGAATTCGTTGATGGTTCTTGTTGTCGTTACGATGCCATACTTTTCTGTACAGGTTACAGATACAGCTTCCCTTTCCTAAACGACTCCTGCGAAATCACTATCGATGATAACCATATCCAACCCTTATACAAACACATGATTCACATTGACAGACCTACCATGTGCTTCATTGGAGTACCTTTCAATGTGTGCACTTTTCAAATGTTTGATTTACAAGTAAGAATCCTATTAACATCCAATTTCAAATTATAATTAATTGTTTTAATCAATTCCAGGCCAGATACTTTTGCAAATACCTCACTGGTGCAATGGACTTGCCATCAAAAGAAGAAATGCGAATGCACACTGAAAAAGATATGGAAAATCGTAAAGCGAAAGGTTATACAAAACGTCAAATGCATATGATGGGGCCTGATCAACAGTCTTACTACAATGACTTGGCTGAGGACGCAGATACAGCCCCAATTCCTCCTGTATTGGTCAAGCTTAGAGATTTAAGTGTGCAAAGGCTGTACGATGACTTAATTAACTTCAGGGAGGATCAGTATAGGATAGTGGATGAAAATAGCTTTGTGAAAGTATCAAATTAAATAGTGCAGGCTTTCAACAATTATTTAGAATAGAGCGATTTTTATATGGTTAAAATATAATGATTATATTCAATATTACAAAAACTGTCAATATGTAAACATAAATTGAATTTTTGCTAATATTGATAGGTTACTTATGTGCTAGCCATAAAAAATATAGCAAAAAAGTAGTTTTCCTTAATTATAATTAAATTTAGTATTTATTTTGTTTAAGATTTTATATTTAAGGAAAAATAAAGTACACTTTGAAAATATTTTAGTTTTAAAAAGTATTTATTAAAAACTATTTTACAATAGAAACATTGAGCCATTCAAAGACATCACACCATAAAAAAAAATTATGTATAAATACATAAACAAACCAATATAAAACCCCATAATTCGTATCACAGCAAGTTAAATCAAATATTGCACCTGAGTAAAAATAATAAATAAATTGAATATAATACAGGATTAAATTTGTGAATCGAAATGGATTCAGTGGATCGGCCTACCAGATTTTTTTCAACAACAGCTTGTAGATAACCAACTTTAGATTGGGGAAAACTTGATTTCGTTTTTGAATAGCTTTAAACAAAAACGGTATATACATCAGAAAGCATAAGTTCATGAGAATTTTAAGCACAGATTACATTTTTCCAAATTGGAAATAACTTTATAATGTCGCGAAATAGAAATCCAAAATTTCAACCAGATGGTGAAAAAACACACTATTTGAACAAATATTACGTATTATAATCTTATAATCACAGCAAAATAGTATTTATTGCATAGGTATGTATGTCTTTAACTGGTTGTCAAATGTTGCATATAAAATGTATATACATAAGGAACAAAATTGTTTTGAAATACGTACATACTGAAAGGTCCAGCACTGATAAAAAACTAATTGTTGTGATCTTTTTTACTCTTTTTAAAAGATTTCCTAAAGTATGGTATCCTTTCCAAAATCGATAATAAAATATTGCCTGGTAACCTTTGATGTTTTTTAATTAAATCTTCTAAAGAGGCGGCAACCTATAACAATTTTTTTCATACAAAAAGTGCCTCAAAATAAAAACCTCTTGCTTACCTTTTGTTGCAATTCCTCCGGAGTTATATTTGGCTCGTATGGAATGGGTTTTCCAACGTGTGTTGTCATTTTCACTGGAAAGCCACCGTAAAGAGGTGAAAATGGAAACTTTGTCCAAGAATATAGTTTTAAAAATATTTTTCTTCCTAAAGTTAACGTTCTAAATGACTCTCTTATGTTTTCACTAAACATTGGTATAACTGGCTAAAACAGACAGAGAATTTATTCAGTAGGTACCTATTTATATAATCAGTATTAGATTTCTTACCACTTTAGCTTCAATTGCTGCTTTCGCAAACCCTAACCTCCTTTTCCACATTAAATTATACTGTTCACTAAATTGAGCTTCGTAAACCCCTCCTGGAGCTATGGCTAAATAGTTTCCTTCTTTTAATATATTTGAACATGACTGCACTGTTCCTGGTATTATTTTCATGCAGTCTGCTAGTATGCTGAAACCTACAAAATTGCATAGGTAAGGGTGTTATGCAAATCTTGGCATTTGATACTTATACTGATACTTCAAGCTTAATTTATTTGTCAATTGTGTTCTAATATCAGGATTGAATTCATGCCATAATCTGAATTTAGTGAAACAATAAGAGATAATTCAAATTTTTTTGATAAAGCATTGTTTTTTTGGAAAATATACAGGACAACTTTGAAGTTTATATTGTGGGAGACTTCAACTACCCAAACATAAATTGGGAAAACCATATAATTGCACCTCCAGACAAAAAAACACAGGAATTTATAGACATGTATCTTGAAACAAATGTGCATCAAATTGTGAATAATTTTTCAACAAGGTACGTGAATAATCAGATATCACTTCTGGACCTTTTTCTCATTAATGATACTAAAAGCATCTTTGATCTTTCTACAAAACCTCCCATTGGCCGCAGTGATCATGTGGTGATTAAAGCGAAAACACATTTAAAAATTCCACCTAAACAAACACAAAAAATAACTAGAAGAAATTTTCTAACTGCCAGTTATGAGGAAATAATTACCTTCATCAGACTCCAACACTCCAACCAAGAAGACAAGTAGATCCACAATTCCAGAATTTCCAGAGATGCGGTGGAGAAAACATACCGGTCAAGCCAGTAAAAACTAACCCACAAAAACCATGGATAAACTATTATTTATTCAGGGAAATAGATAAGAAAAGTAGATGATGGGATAACTATCAAATAAATAAAACACTAAACAATTACCAAGCTTACATGTTACAGAGTAACAAAACTAAGCAGAAGTTGCTTGATGCCCGGAGAAAGTATGAAAATGGCCTTGCGAATGCGGATTAACCAAAAAAACTGTTCAAGTATATAAGTCAAAACAGTCAAAACTTGAGTTCCAAGGTATCAACCATAACTTTAAATGACTCTGCTTTGATATCAATAAATGAATAAAATAATCTGGGGGTTGTAGTAACAACCAACTTGAAGTGGAAGAATCAAATGATTAAAATAACTGAAAAAGCTAATTCCTTACGTATACTTAATTAACCTCGTAATTAACAATGACCTCCGGAAAGATTAGTTAATTTCAATTTGACATCCCTTAAAGAAAGAAGGCACAGAGGCGATTTAATTGAAACTTACAAGATAACCAGTGATTATACTATCAGTGTTATCTGATAAATATTTTCCATCCATGTCGAAATCCTCATCTTCATGGCCATTCTAAGAAGCTTGAAAAGGAAAGATCTTCAAAACTACCTAGGAAAAACTTTATAGTAAACCGTGTAGTGCATTCTTAGAATTTGCTTTGCCAAAATACAGTCTCAGCACCAAACACTAATATTTTTAAAAATCGTGTTGACAGAGAATTGAAAGAATACTCAGAAAGAATAATTCATTATGGTGCATAAACTAAATCTCATATATCCTTTTAAAATTTTGTTAAAGTATCAATAGCTTCACAATGTTTAATACAGAGGGTAAGTATTCCTTTTGCTTAACAAATTATCATGCAGGCAATAAAAAAATTAGTTATTGCTACGTCACTAATTGTGTTGAAGATTTCTGACTTGATAAGGCAAAAACACATAAAAACTGTTGACAATTTGATGGCAAGTAATAATCTACTCCAACGTTCATAAAAAAAATATTGGTAATTATTGAAATAATTATAAAACAATAATTATCCTAACTACTAGCTTACCTGGTACTTTAAACAGAAAGTGATCGGCCACAGTATGAACAATCCTATTTCTACTAAGATAAATTTTCGCCAAAAAATAATAAATATCAATTGGTATGGCACCGTGATAGTATATTACCAAAGCTGGACCAGTTTCTGGTAAATTTTCTAGACCATTAATTTCATAACCTGGAATTTTTTAAAAGTTTTATACTCATGCACGATAAATGAAATAATAATCATTGAACAACAAAAATTCTTACCGTGCCATATCCATCCGTGTGCATCCCATATGACACCTATAAATTTTCGTGCAGCTATCCATTTATCACCGGTGGTCAGAGCATCTCTGAGGGGGCCCCAGTGCAATTTATAAATATATAAAGTTAAGGCACTAATGTACAGTAATAGACCTATGACAGCTGGTAGGAGGAATGTAACAAGTAAAGGAGTTAGGCACCAGGTTAGCCATAGTGAATAATCGATGTCTATGTAATCAACTAGAACCAAAAAAATAAAAGATAGTACCTATGCCTATGTATTTGTTATATTAACCACAACGTGTTATAGGACAGTTGGAAAATGTATTTAAACCAAAGTGATACAGACTTTTTGTTAGTTATCATCATGAAATCCCCATACTCGCCCCCATAGAACCCTGTTGAAACCTTAAGGTACGGTTTGTTAGGAGAGTACGCGTCGCACAACTGACAACGTAAATGTCGTCATTGGTTCAGGTATGACCATAGGTATGACGTACACCCGTTTTCTCACGTCAAAAGACGGGTGTACGTCATACCTGAACCAATGACGACGTTTACGTCACGTTTACGTTGTCAGTTGTGCGTCGCGTACTATCCTAACAAACCGTACCTTTAGATAACCGAGTAGATAACCATATAAAATTAAAAATTAACAGTAAACATATTTTAACAAGTAAATCTCGAAGTAAATACCTCAAAGTAATCACAGAAAGTGTTTTTCATTGTCGTTTTACATAATACCTGCTTTGAAACATTATAAGGTCTTATGCATCGAGCTTTGTCTTATGAAAGAAGGGCAAACAGAAAGGGAAGTGTGGTTCAATAAGAAATAATAATCCTGTAAACCCGAGTGTGAACCTATAAATGGCTGAAAAACACATATGAAAATCAGTACTATTGAAGAAGAAAATTAAGGCATTAGAAATTCAGCCTAAACCTCCTCGACCGAGTCCTCGACTAAAAAGTTTCTGGCATCTGGAAAATTAATATTTATGTTTTAGAATTTGGTACCATACAAAAGTTTAGCTTCAAATTTTGAGGGGGAAGTTTGGGGTTTGAGAAATTTAGGAGAATGAGAGAATTGGGCTCTCAGGAAATAGCACCTACTGCAACTTTTCATAAATACAGAATCAAGCATAAAAAACAGGAATCAAGGAATGAGGTATCTCAGCCTCTAAGACACAAGTGTTTTAAATTGGTATAGAATATTAAACTAGTGACCTTAGCATAGAAAACTTACCAAATAAATAAATATACCTAATTAATGCAAAAGTTCTTCTTACCTGTTATATCCTTCACAAAACGAAATACTTGATCGATGCTGCTCATTTTAAGCCACTCTGCACCCTTCAAACAATAGTCCTCGATAATATATTAACAAAAATATTATTCTTGGATCATTAAAATGTTGCCCCGAGTGCCTATTGCCCATTAATTAAACTACTGTGACTGACAGTAAGTAGGGACTACTGAAATTACTAGGCAAGGAGGCATAATACCTATTTTTTTGTTCGTCATCAAAGTTTTTTTGATAAAAATTTAAATGCTAATTTGAACTGAACAAAAAAGTTGAAAATTAAAATTCCAGATAAGTAGGTACTAAATGTTGACCTTGAAGCGGTATCGTAATTATTGCATTTCTACGTTTTTTGATTTTTGATAATGATATGTTTAAACTAGTTTACCTTCTAATAATTTTAATTAAATTTATCGTTTTGGATTTTATTTTTAATTTTAAATTTTAAATTTTAGTTTTTATGTAAATAAATAAAGATTTGAAAAAACTCACTGTCAACTGTCAAAAACATCCAGATAACTGTCACGTTCGATAACAATAACCCTTTTCACGTGGTTCCGGTTTAACAAACCGCAACATACCGCTCAAATTCGAGTGGTAGGTATAGTCCAACAAATACCATTTTAAAGTCACGTGATTTTTCTCTATCCTTGTTGAATACATCTCAAACAGCGGTGATAGTAAAATTGACAAAAAAATTGCTGTCTAATTATGGTTCATAATATTCTTACCTGAAATAGAATCCGTCACTGTCATCAATTAGTTTGTCAAAGTTATTTTCGAAAATAATACAACGAACAAACACAGCTAATAATTTTAACTATATTAATCTTTTTCCAACTCGAAAAGAAGCAAATAGAAAACGGGTACCCAGTTTAAGTTCAGAATGTATTACAACAGACAGCAGATGCAACAAAAGTGAGTCTCGCAACAATTGCAAGTATTAAAATTGCCCTCTGATTGGTCAATACTACTTCAGAAACGCGTTTGTAAAATGCTAGTGGGAACATATATTAAAATTCAATACTAATTAATCACCAGTAGCTTTTTGTAGGTGATATCAACGACATAATCAATGGACATACGTTTTTTGCCACCAGTATCACGTGACTTTAAAATGGTATTTGTCGGACTATATCCATCGCGTAAGTTTGTAACCGGGTTAGAAAACGGTATGTCATTTCTCTAACTGTTTTGTAACCCGGTTAGTTAAACCGGAGCCCCGTGAAAAGAACTATTGGGTACATTCAGGCGGTCCCAGCGGGCTCAGCCTCTCAGCAGGAACTTTATTCTCGAAACCAAGGAACAGCGTTCTCATAAGAACGATTACTCTGTCATTGTCAGTGTTATGCCGGACGACAAAGACAGAATATTCTTTCCAATGAGAACGCAGTTCCTTGGTTTCGAGAATAAACTTCCTGCTGAGAGGCTGAGCTAAGCCGCTGGGACCGCCTGAATGTACCCATTAGCTGTATTTCTTTCACATCTAGGAGGAAATCCGGAACAGCTCCGGGGCGTGAAGCGCTTATTCCTTTCGAAAAGTGTTTGTTGCACCACGCATCTGTTCCTTGCAAATCAAGGGCGACTAGCACCGGAGCGAGTAGCTCGTGTGTTTCAAACTCTTGAAAGGAATACAACTACTGTGCGTAGTACTCCGTACAAACTTGAACATGTTCAAAGGCGTTTTCTCGCGTCTCAAATGTTTCAAAAAAATCAAAACTGGTTAAAGTGATGTCGCCATCACGTCATAATTTCTCGGCGCGAGAAAATGGTTTGAAAACGTGGATAGGATTGTATTTCGAAACGGTTTGAACCAATTTTGACGTGACGTCATGGGTTTATCGCAAGAGAATGTAGTTTTTCAAAACAGTTTTGAACCAGTTTCAAAAAAGTGGACGCGAGAAAACGCCCCAAGTCTGAACGAAGCTTTATACCGGTATACCGCACACCGAACAACAAACCGAAAGGTAATCCAAACACTAACTTGGACTGGGCAACTGGGCTTACGAACGCCTATGCAAACAAGCTCTCAAATCCTGGTCGGAAAAAGGATGTTCGCCGTTCTGTTTGCTGTTCATTCATTGATCTGTTTTTTGTTCGGCGTAATGTTCAAATCTGTACCAAACTTTACGCCGAACAACAAACAGAACAACGAATCGAACAGCAAACAGAGCAAACGCTCCCACGCGTATTTCCTTTGATGTCGGAGAAAAAACCGACATCAGTGACAATCACTGTTCCGATTGTTCAAGTCTGTACGAAGCATTAAAAATCATTGATTCAGTTGTCATTCCGCAAATTGAAGAGAGTGGATGAAATCCGAATGATCCTTTTTCAGATCCTGTTTGCATTTTCCTCGTCTATTATTTTTATCAAAATGCAATAAAATTTTTCTTCACGGGCAGCGGTGCTTAACCTTGATTTCGAAAATCGAGGCCGATAATCAATTGTTCAATCTTGTAACTGTAGTAGTAGTTCTAGCAGTCAAGCAGTGTGTAATATCCTTGATTAAAATCGTACGGATTTCGTACGGCGTTCGGCATTCGGAGTAGAAGCTAAGCCATGGTGGTAAACAGCGAGCTGTTCGTACGCGTCAACCTATCAGCTGTCACATCTGTGGGCAGTGTTGTCAACAGTATTTTTTTAATTCCGTCAACTTTGCTGTAAATTTCCGTCAAAAATCCGTTAAACCTTTTTTTTTTCCGTCAATAAAATCCGTCAGAATGAAACATGCGAAATGCGCTAAACAAATAAAATTTATTCAGTAGTGCCAACCAAATAATGCAGAGTTAACGACATTGACGGCAGTGCCATTTGATTTTAGGCGTTTTTAGAAACATGAATGTGTAGTATGATGTTTACTGGTCGCTAAAATACGCCTTAAATAAATACAGCTGCCAGATTCTATTTTACGATTCGACTCGAATTGTCCGTTATGACACTCGATATCGAATACGACAGCTCCGGACGTACCGTGTGATCCGTATCGAAAAATCGAAGGATAGAATCGCTATTTTGACATTCAATACGAATTTCGACTCAACTCGTAAAATAGAATCCGGCAGCAGATAATCCAAGAATCGTGAACTAACAGGATTGCTCATCCAAATGACCTAATGAGGTATGTTCGCCAATTCTCGAGTCGGCAGCTAGTCTGCGAGTGACTTTACCACTATTAGCAGCTGATAGTGGTGACGTCGCCCGAAGACCTTTATGGATTGCTTACAGTTCAGGCTGTGCTTTTGAGTTGATTTTTTCGTCGATTTCTAATGTAGAAAAGATGATTTTGGTAATCGCCGCCACATTGGTGTGTCATTATTTCTGACGTCATTTACTGTCGTCAGCTATTTACACTAGCGGTCGCAAAGCGGAAGATGAAAACGAGATCCAAGAAAGAAATGTTAATTAATGTAGTAAAACCAAGTATGCATAAAGCAAAAGCCCGCGGAATTTTAACCTGTGGTGCAAACAGCCTACGTCAAGCCAAGAAACGACATGCTGCTACGTCACAATTGGGGATTTGTCGTCGCGGGCGGCTTCAGATTTGTTCCACACAGGCCTTATGAGGATAGGCTTAATAGGCTATCGTGTAGTAGTAGTGTGTATTATCCTTGACTTTCACGTGCCAGGAAAGTTCAGTTGCCAGGAAGCAGTCATAAGGCGCCAACATCGCTCCCATGCACACGATACAAAATAGAGAAATCGGATTTAGGGCGGGTATTATAAAACTACTTTGAGAGTTAACTTAAAGTTAACTTTTGAAATTACATGTAATTCAAAAAGTTAACTTCAAGTTAACTGTCTATGGGCGGGTATTATAAAACTGCTTTGACAGTTAACTTGAAGTTAACTTTTTGAATTACATGTATTTTCAGAAGTTAACTCTCAATCTCAAAGTAGTTTTATAATACCCGCCCTAAGCAGTTTTATAATACCCGCCCTTAGACTACAAAAAAAAAACGCACATCAGAATTTGCTGAAATTTGGCATAAACATTTCTTGATCGATTATCTAGAGTCTCTAGAGAATAGTGCAGTTAGATTTTCCATATTTCGAATTTTTTTTTGGCCTATATTGTGAAAATGAACTATTTTCCAACAATAGAAATAACCACGGTAAAAATTGAAAAAATAAGAGCACTATTCTCTAGATAATCGATCAAAGAATGTTTATGCCAAATTTCAGCAAATTCTGATGTGCCGTTTTTTTTTGTAGTCTAAATCCGATTTTGGAATAAAACTACAGATAATTTGGCAAATATAGTTCAGGCTTTTTTTCGAAGATGGCGCCACCAGTCAATTCGTGATGTCATAATTAGGCGTTTTCGAAAACCCCGAACCGTTGGAGCAGCAGCTGATGTAGGTTGTTCAGCGTTTCCAAAAAAGCCTATTGACAACAGAACCTCTTTCTCACCTTGTGTATTTGTTTTGTTTTTTATTATTGGTTTATAAGATAATCGACACAAAGCATGCTGTGCCATTAGTTTCCATTGAAAATAAATAAAGTATAAGCTATTTTACGTACCTAGGTATACATAAAAAAATTGGATCGTGTTTTGTAGGACAAAATGTCTTTGAAAAAATAAAAAGCTTCAACAATAATTATTAAAATTTATTTACAAAAGGTGGAAAGTGCTAAAATTAGAGTTTTTCCTTTGTGTTCTTGCATATTAGTGCAATAATAATATCCACCAATGCAGTAGAGCATTCCATTTAGGTATCTCGATTTGCATTTCTTTTACTGGCTCTTGGATCTTTTACCAATATCTGAAATTGTGTAAGACTCCTGGTAAGACTATTTTTTTATTATTCTTCCGAGTATTCCTCTATTTGTAAGCCCATTCATGTGCCAATTGCTTCCTGAAAATCTCACACCTACCACAACTAAACATACCACAAAAACATGCTCTACAACCAAACATCACTTTTACAGAGTAGAAAAAAATTTGAAGTCATATCAGGCATGGAAATACAAATCCCTCCAGTTTTATGAAAATCCCATTAGCCAATCAGTGCGAACTGAGTGAAAAAAGTTGCACTGATTCTGCAAATTGAAATCGCTATAATATTTAAAATGCTTTCATCTTGGCGCCATCTATAATTTTTTTTTAGAACTAAAATATAATTTGAAGGGGGGCCGTTGCGGCCTTAAGGCCGCGTTAATGGCCGCCATGTTTAAATCATAATCCTAGGTTTAATTTTTTTTTTTTTTGAAAATGACGACTGCGCCACTCTACACATACGTTTCAATATTTTATTTTTTGTCCAAAACAAAATCTGTTTGTCGGTGAAAGACTTAGACAAGGAAAAAAGAGGGGACGGGTAACAGGCATTTACAAGCTTGCACGTGAACGTGTGACCAAAAATTGATCGGCGGCCATAGTCCTGGTGCCAAACAAAGAGCTTGACACCTGACACCCGGCATATTTTCTATATTTATGCGACGAAAACGAATGAAATATGTTTGTTTTAGTTTTTTCCTTGTCTAAGGTGAAAGACTTGTCCTCTTCTTCTTATTTTTCTTCTTTTTATTTTGGAAATGGGATTTTCATAAAACTGACATTTTAAAAGCTAAGGTCTTGTGCAGAAATCACAAACCAGTCAGAGTGAATTTCATTGGTTGAAACTAAAATCTGTTTTTTTTTTTAAAGATAAAAGTCAAAATGACATTCTGTTGGCAATACAATGTAAAATTGTCAATGCTTTCAAATTTTTTATGTAGAAAAGGCTTGTGTTGCCAACATAGGTAGTTACTAAATTTTTGACTTGGGGAATTATCTTTAAAAAAAAAACACTTTAGTTTTCTGACTGTTTTCAACCAATGAAATTCGCTCTGACTAGTTTGTGATTTCTGCAGAAACAGACCTAAAGTTAACTTGAGTGTTACAATCAAAGTTAACTTTAAAACATGTTTGTAATACCCGCCCTTAATGGAAACGTTTGGCTTTTTGTGTGACAAAACCAAGCTACAACGGCTTAGCAATAGGCGTTTAAAGTCGAGCGCAGATTGACTATTGCTAATACAGTGGGTGTACTTTATGCCCGCAACATTTAGGCAGAACGTACAACAGATTAGCAATGGGCGTTTTGTACGTATTCGTAGCAAATTTAAACAAAAACACGTGACTGAAAACGCCCTCTCATAAGCTAGGAAGCCGATATTCATGCACTTGTTGCCACATATTATAAATGCGAAATTACCATTCATTCAACGATTCAACTGACATGGATCCCATGTTTCTTCCTATTACCTAAGCCGCTTTCCAGCTGACGCTTTTGAGCACGCAATTGAGTTTTTGCGTGCGCAAATGCTTCAAGCGCTTGTTCGTGTTCCAGCCGTACTGCGCTTCGAGAGCTGCTAACTTTTGCGTTTCAAACACAGAACACTGTGCTGCACCGTGTTTGAAGCACACAGCTGGAAAGCGGCTCTAGTACGAATCGAATATACACTTTGTTTCACGAGGGTTTATACTTTTGACATAATTTGGCTTCCTTTTTTAATAAATAGAAATTGACTGTAACAAATCAATGACGTCAAAAACGTTCGTCGGTTCTTAAACCAGAACTTGAAACCAACTTTACTTTGGCATTTCACACGGCATTTTATGCATTTATTGCTAATGGTTTCCAGAGATACAGATTTTGAGAAAGATTTGGCAACATGCAGACAGACATCTGTTCATTGGGACTCTGACGTCACAGTCCTAACCCGCGTTTTCACAGTACCTACCTTTGAATAAGATAAAACGTTGTACGCTTTCCGACCTAAACAGAAGATTTTTTTGTGCCTCGCTGCCCTCGCTCGATTCAAACTTTGAGCTCAGCACAAAAAAAGTCAGTCTTTGGGCGGTTACACACGGACGTGGATGTCTTAATACATATACGTGCATACATCAACGTGCAAACAACAACAAGCATGGCGCATTTGTACAGACGCTCGCACAAAACTGCAGTCTTGCTATTCTTGCTACAGTGTTCCGAGTGTGCATACAAAATTGCACATTCAAAAACGCGACGATATTTTGCATACACATTGATGTTTTTGTTTGCACGTGCATGTAGGTATGTGCGTACATGTTTTCAGACATCAACGTCCGTGTGTAACCGCCTTTTGGCCAACTAATGACATTTAAAGCGTTTAAACATGACTAAAAAACTCGTGTGATTAGAACGACTCTGTCTACGACCTCGTCGTTCTAATCTTTCACACTCGTTATTGTGATCATGTTCATAAACGCACTTGTAATGTAAATAACTATTTCATAACTAGTAGAAAGTTAAATTCATAAATATGTATGTACATCATACAATACAATCAAACCAAACAAAGCAAATGTGCGGTCACAAATTACTTTTTGATGGTGGTAGCTCAACACCATCAAACAAACACCGGAACTAAAAATAGTTGACAAAGATGCAGGAATAATAATATTTGAACTAGATCGTTTTTTATTATCCCAAATTACCAACTTTTTCTAACAAATAAATCTATAAATACCTACCTAAGTCATTCTGAGTAATCTTTTACGTTTAACGTTGTTTATATAGTTATAGCATCACTCTATTGCGCCTTAAGGTCATTGTTAATTATTGGCGCAAACAAAAATCACTAGACAAGGCTCGCTAGAAACAAGACACCGGACATTCTACGGACTTCTTTATTCTACGTCATCTTTATTTTCAATCCAAGCCGTCACTACAAACTACTATAATTAAATTAAATTAGATATGTTTGTACCTTGTATTGATTGTTTTTCCAGTCAGCCAGAGAGCGTTTTTTCTATTAGGAACGTTTTTATCGAGGTTTTTATCATGGTGTATTCTCTGTTAAGATTTTAGTTAAGTGTTTTTTTTGTTTTGTATCAATAATTGTGGCATTTTTCCATTTTCATTAAGGTAACTTACATCAGTTTTAGTATTTTAATTAGGTAGGTAGCTATCTACTTTGTTTATGTCTTATATTAAGCCAAGGCACTCTAGATAAGTGGCTAAGTACTAGGTACCTAATAATGTTTTTGCAATTTTATATTTATACAGGGTGTCGGGAATAAGTTGAAGTACATATAGGGCAATTTGAATTACAAAATACATAAGTACGCACTTTTTTCTTTTTTGCCCTGTATATCCGTTGATATTCCGAGTTCAAAGAAGTTGAAGACAGATCATTTGTAGGCACTTGATTGTGCAACTGCAACTTTCTCCCCATTTGCTCGTTTCCAAAACCCCCATGTACTTCAAGCTATTCCGGTCAACCTGTATAATATGCTGGAAAACTGAATTCACGCACTCTCTAGTAGAAAAATAGTTACAAATGCGACAAAAAATAGAATTCTATTTAGAGCATACTTTTATGGGGAAGTGTTATTATTTCCTCAATTTGCTTAGTGCCGATATGTTTGCTATCCAACGAATTTAGTAAATCAGATATTTGAATAATATGCCATAACAATAAGCATATTACAAAACTTGTAATTCTAAAGCTTAAAAAAAATTGTTAACCAAGAGCAAAACTTACTAAAACAGAATGAAGTACCTACCTAATATGCCACTAAATCTTTACTTTGGTAAAAAGCCTGAAAAGTTCCAAAAGATTTTATTGACATGCATCAGCGATTATATTGTATGAAAATATGAATACCTGACTATCAGGACTAGGCAATAAAAATGTGTCATTGAATTTATAACCCATTATTGCAAAACCTGTTTTTAAAAAATTATATGGGAAATTTATGGTAGAATAATACTTTTGGTTGTTTGTTGTTTTCTGAACTACGGTGCATTTATTAGTTTCTCTATGCTATTAGTTTCTCTATGGCATAGTTTTAAATATCTGGTGATAATTCATATAGGTATACAAGGTTAATCAAACTAAATTCATGTTTGCATTGTTTATAGCAAATTTCCGAGATGTTTTCCAGATTTAAAATAGTGTTACACTGATATCAATCACACAGGTCTAGGTCATCTTAGGTTAACAATGTGAATTCACCACGAACATATTTTTTTTATTTTTAGAACATGGATTCCCCAGGAGCCGATATCGCACCACAGCGGCCACACGTTAAATCGGGACCGTCCGAAACAAATAACGATCCTGAAAGTGAAAACGGCGTAAACATTAAGTTATCAGGACATCCAGGCGTCAGCAGGACCGAAACTCCGGGAGTTGGTGAGAGCAAAAGTGCGGATATTGATCCAGGGAGCGATGGGATAAAGAATAATCGCAAAAATATGTATTTTCAGTTGGCAGTTGTGTTTTTAAAAAAAGTAAGTTCAAGTTTTCATTATTTAATAAACTTTTGCCTAGTAGCATGCTAGTAGCTGAGCTTTTTCAAACTGTCAACGATGCAAATTTTGAAAATTAATATTCACTGTTCATTATAATAAAACAGTGAATGGTTTTAATAAATTAATAATATTTATTCAAAAGCATCGCTCATGTTGTTTTGGGTTTCTACTAAGTATTCCATGTACTGAAAATATTATATTTTTTTCAGGTATCACTTCTTTTGCTGGGTTACATAATTTGCTATTTCAATTGGTCGCTCATATTACCAATAATAGGAATATGTACCATGATATGGTACGAAAACATCAAGTCCAAAAAAATAGAAAGGATCAAAAAGAAAGTTCGAGCAAGTAAAATGACTAAACAGGAAATATTGGAAATTGTTAAGGACTTACCTTCGTGGGTAAGATAATAATTACTTTCCTTAAGATTTTATTAAAAGATTATCTTTATTGTTGTACATACAGGCCATTAAGTGAATAAATATCGTACAGGGTGTCAAGTTATAAAGTACCACCCCCTGTAACTTTTTATTTTTGATCGTACATGAAAAAGTTACAGGGGGTGGTACTTTATAACTTGACTTCCGGTACGAGTAGAATAAGAGTTTCATTATTGAGCTAGTAAATACAGTGTCAGTTTAAATTTTATTGTTAATAGTAATTGTTTAAGAGGATATAAATATGTATATAACTACATATTAAAATTTAATCTTATGAAAGTATATAATTAATTTACTTTATAAAAAAAACTGGGTAGATCCAAACAAATTAATTGAAAGTTAATTTTTAGGTGAATTTCCCTGACAGAGAAAGGGCGGAATGGCTAAATGAGGTAACTTACTCCAGGGAATTTATATCAAAAATAAAATTTTCCCCCAATTAATTTTAGATTATTTCCCAATTATGGCCCAACGTCCACAGTTACATTGTAAAATATTGCAGGGGAAAGATCCAGACCAACATAAGAAAAAAGTTCGATTCTTTCAGATTCGAGGATATAGATTTTGGTAATATGCCGCCTAAAATTGATGGAGTGAAAGTCTATAGCAACGCTGTATCTAAAGATTCAATTATAATCGACTTTGAAGTATTGTAAGTTAACTGGAAATATTTGAGGATTTTGTTTCAAGAATAAAATGTGTTTCAGTTATGATGGAGACTGCGAGATAAATTATTCCATGTCTGGAGCACAAATAGGAAGAATTCGGGATTTCCAGGTAAGAATCCAAATTACAAAAATTATGTGTTTTATGCTGGACACTTTCAGATGGGAGTTGAAATAAGAATTGTCCTGAAGCCTCTCCTTTATAAAATGCCTGTAGTTGGAGGAATGCAGCTGTTTTTCCTAAATATACCTGATATTCACTTTGAGCTGGAAGGATTTACTGGTATTCCAGGATTTAGGTAAAAGGTTCAGAGAATTTGTCTTTAGTATTTAATAATAGTGGATGATAATACTAAGGTTTAGGACTATGAATCAAACTCCTTGATTAATAATTCGCCGATGTTTCGGCCTTATATTCAGCCTTCTTCAGGGCTCTTCTTCAAATTAGGAGCTTTGGTAAATTTGGAGAAAAGCCCAGAAGAACCCTTGTAAACCCAGGACGCGAATATCCAAACCATTTATTAATTTCATTTTATATGTTTATAAGGAATTTGTATATTTTTTTTTTTAGCTATTTTGTTAGACAAAAAATCATCGAAATCATAAACAAAAAATTAGTCTTTCCCAATAAAATTACGAAACGCTTTACAAAATCTATAGAAGCTGCTGAGCTAAAATCAGTAGAAGCTGAGGTCAGTAACTACCTGAAAAAACTTGCAATTTCAACCTTAGAAAATGTTTCAGGGTGTGTTAAGAGTTCATGTATTCGAAGCCAAAGACCTAGAAAAGAAAGATGTGACTGGCAAATCGGATCCTTACGTCATACTGAACGTGGGAGCTCAAGAATTCAGAACTCAAGTGGTAAAACGAGATTTGAATCCCCAATGGGATTATTATTGTGAGGTAAACCATTATTTATATTTTAAGTGTTTATAATTATATGCAGTTTTGAATCAAATTTGCAGTTCATAATCTTGGATCCAGTAGCTCAACAATTATATTTTAAAATGTTTGATCAAGACGATTTTAATGAAGATGATTTTATGGGAAGGTAATCAACTGCTTATCTTATTTTATGTTTGCCTAAATAGTTATGTTTAGCGGTGTTGTGGAAATATCTGAAGTAATTAAGCCTGGGAAAAATGATCAATGGTTTTCTCTGGAAAATGCCAAACATGGAAAACTGCATATGCGTTTCAGTTGGTTAGCACTAGCTTCTGAGAAAGACGCTATAAACGATGCAATGCAAGAAAGTAAACTCCTCAAAATTGAAAACATACATACAGCCTTATTGACGATATACATCGATTCAGCCATTAATCTACCAGTAAGGATTAAAATAAAATTTTGAAACGTTAATTTCTGTATTGCGATTGCAGAAAATAAAATCCTACAAGAAACCGGACCCCTACATAATATTAACAGTTGGCAAAAACCAAACTAAAAGTCGCACCAAAAAACATACTTGTCAACCAGTCTGGGAGCAAGGGCTTTATTTGTTAGTAAGAAATCCGGAAAACGATTCTTTGATAATAAATATCATTGATAAGCATTCTGATCATACTTTGGACAAAATGGTATTTAATGTACGTCAACTTCTGGATCGACCTTCAATGCAAATAAGCAAAGAAGAGTTTCAGTTACAGCTGAATCCTGAATGTAAGATAACTTTATCTTTGCAATTGAGGGTAAGTTGAAGCTCCTCTAACTTGTTATTAGATTTGATAAGTTTAAAAAACATTTCTAGATTTTACACAATGCACTCTTTGAAGGCGATGATTTTGATTCAGATTCAGATGAAGAAAATCCTCCAACTCCAAGAGCATCTATTAAATCATCGAAAGTTGATAGCCCAAAACCGTCTCCTCCTATATCCCGAAAGAATTCAGTGGGAGAAAAATTTGAAAAATTCAAAACTTCTGAAATGATGTCTGCAGCCCCTTCAGCTGGTTTCAAAACTTCAAACTTTACTCCGTAAGCAGGTTTCATAAAAAAAATTCCAAGCTAACATTATATTTTGGTTTTCAGGAGACTGGACGAACGTGGACGTATCGAAATCTCATTAGAATATAGTGAATTGAGGCAAAAATTATTGGTGACAATTCATCGTGTAATGTAAGAAGTCTAAAGTTGCAATGAAATTGATAAAATGGTTAACATTTTCAGGGATTTGCCTTTAAAACATCCTAGTGACATTCCAGATCCCTACGTTAAACTTAGGCTTGAAGGTCCAGGAGTTACTCATCCTAAACACAGGACTAAGGTAAGTTGTTTTTTTCGGAAGTGAATATTGAAAACAATAAATACACAAATTAAGTATTCCGAGAAAGAATAAATAGATAGTTAATAAATTGTTAGTAGATTTTGAGAATCTTAGGTAGGCATGCCAAGAGATTTGTAATTTGTAACCATGAGTCTTGTATAATATGAAAGATATATTTTAAAAAATTTCAGGTTGTTATAGATTCTTGTAGTCCAGAATACGAAGAAAAATTCGAATATCTCTTGTCAGTCTCAGACCTGCCTTCCCACAGACTAATCGTCACAGTAAAAAATAAGAAGTTTTTCAATTCCAGAATTCTTGGACAGGTAAATATATATGTACATATACAGGGTGTTCCGAAATTGATGCACCAAATTGTTATGGCATATTCTTCATCGAAAATAAACCCCAGTACCTATATAAACTTATGTCCGGAAACGCTTGCTTTCCGAGATACCGGGTGTTGAAATTCTAAGAAAAAAACTATATTTTTATCATAAGTTTCAAATCACTCTAGATATTTCATTGAAATTTTGTGCACTGCTTTCAATCAGCAAAAGACATTTTTTGATGTGATTTTTTTTTTTTAAATTACCAGTGGCGTCCCACCAGATTTGTAAGAAATATTTTTTTAAGAAAAAAATGGTGCGTCACTACTTTTTCCTTAAATAAAAATCATTTTTGAAATCCCCCATTTAATTTGGAACAAATTTGATCTCTTCACTTTTTTCCAAAAGATGCACCGTTTTAAAGTAAAAAAATAAAAAACTATTTTGATTTATGGCGAAATCGCCAAAATTATGATAAAAATGTTAAACATTAAATACCTAAAGTTTCAAATTAGTTTTGTGACGTCACTGGTATTTTTTTTTTAATATTTCACATTAGAAAATGTCTTTTGCTGCTTGAAAGCAATATACAAAATTTCAAAGTGGTATGAATTATCATAAAAAAATAGTTTTTTTCTTAGAATTTCAACACCCTGTATCTCGGAAAGGAAGCGTTTCCGGACATATGTTTATACAGGCAACTAGGGCTTATATAATAACACCTTGTATATTTTTTTTTTACACCAAGTTCAAATTGTATTTATTAATTTTTGTTCTATTTATCTAGAAAATTATTGAATTAACATCTCTAAACAGAGATGAAGATCCTGTACGAAAATGGTACACGTTATACGAGGAGGAAGTATCAGACTGATGGATATGGTTCTGTTTTAGGATAAAACGAAAAAAAAAAGTTAAAAATGTGCCTCAAGAAACAAAGTTGTGATTTTATCCAATTTTTTTTTTTAAATTCCATCGCCCTATTTTTGTACAAGTGATTTATAAGTGTGTCCCGCTTAAGGACTGATCACCCTTCTGAAATTTTTATTTTTCAACCCATTCAAATCATTTTTTTTTGTCTTATGTCTATTCGAATTTGACACTTATTTGGCTCATAATTTTATTTCTGCGGCTGTAGGTACTGGTGTACAGGGTGTCCATATTTATAGGCTCAAATTTCAATAAGTACCTACTATTAGGGATTTTTTTAGAAAAAATCTGATAGCAGATTCTTATTTAGAATGGTCTAAAACCCAACTGTACTAATTTTGGTTCCGATTTGATACAGGGTGATTACAACAAATTTTCAAAATTTAATAGACCAAACCGGAAAAATTTCATATTTTGAGGTCTTGAGTCTAACAAAACTTAATACAACATAGTTTTAGAACATCCTTAACCAAAATGTGTAGTAAGCTTGTCTCAAAATATAACATTTTTGCAATTTGATTCATTAAATTGTGAAAATTTGATGTCATCACCCTGTATCGTATTGGAACAAAAATTAGTACAGTTGGGTTTTAGAACATTCTAAACAAGAATCTGCTATCAGATTTTTTCTAAAAAAATCCCTAATAGTACTTATTGAAATTTGAGCCTATAAATGTGGACACCCTGTACACCAGTACAGCCGCAGAAATAAAATTATGAGCCAAATAAGTGCCAAATTCGAGTAGACATGAGACAAAAAAAATTAATTGAATCGGTTGAAAAATAAAAATTTTAGAAGGGTGGTCAGTCCTTAAGCGGGACACACTGTATGTAATCTCGTTTATATAAGCTTTGCTTTATTACTTAACTTACTACTTTATAATAATTATATTTTTAAGCGTTTTTAGTATTGTTGTTTACTCTGTTACTGCACTGCACCAGGCACAGGTTGTTGATTTTACATTTTATTGCATATTTATATATTCAATGTATTGAATTTTATAAAAGTTTTATACAAAATTATGTTGGTTGTTCTATTTTTCGATTGAATTTCACAATTTTTATCCAGTTTAGTATGGTGAACTGTGAACTGATGATGGAAAGTCAGCATATTTCAACTGATATTAAACGAGATTTATTAAGTATACTTACCTATTTATACAGAAGCCTCTTTTGTCACGTTAAATTTCGTTTTCCATCTTTTCAATTAACATCTCTAGCCACTTAATAATAATTACTTCTCTAAACATTTCATTTCCATTGTTATTTATGAATTCCAATTTTTCAAACATGCTTTAAGGGGAGTTGCTATCTATCCTTTATATCTTTGTGAATATACTTTCATTTATTTGTAAATTGAAAAAATAATCATTGAGGAATAATAATTGATTGAGAAATTCAAATTATCACTTCCACTTATGGAGAATATATTTCACTTTAATTACTTAAATATGCCTACAAAATCATTTTTATAGTTATGTGATACATATTTGTTGGATCATTTCTCATAAACATTCCCGTTTTAGACAATCACATTCAATTCAATAATTCTTCCTAATTAACTTCTATAAATTCTTCATCATTTAATATCCGATAATTTTTCTCAACATTTCTTTCACCACATAAAGATTGGAATAGTTTATGAATCACAGGACGTACTTTTTCAACTTTAACAGTGTTAGCAAGATCGTCAAAATATGTTTGATGTAGGGCGTTTCCGATTTGGTGAACCTGAGCCGTTGAAGCTGATTTATCTTCTATATCTTTAAGAATATCTCGTATCATTTCATCTTTAGAGAATTTTGATGTATTTTTGATAAATTCAAGGAAAAACCTTGCCTGAAATAAAAAAATTAAAATCTTTTACCCACATATTAAAACGACTTACTTGAATATCAAACAAAGGAAAAGGGCAAACTCTGAAAGTAATTCCCATAAAACCCATTGTAGGATGTTCTACGTTGACAATGTGTTTATAAAGATATTTTACCCATCTATTTTCTACTTCAATGCCACATTCTTTGGTAAGAAATGGGTAAACATATTGGTAACCTGTACAATAAATAACATTGTCAATTTCTTCTACTGATCCATCCGCAAAAAACGCTTTACTGCCTTCAAATTTCTCGACTAAAGGCTTATGAATAACATTTTCACGAGTCTCACCGAAAAATGTCGTGTTATAACTAATATAAAGCTTTTCAGCAACTTCACTAACGATTTTCGCGATATCAGTTCCTGAAGGTCCAGCCCCAATAATTAAAACTCTTTTAAGTTCATATGCATGATTTTTCCTATAAAAGTGACTGTGTATAGCTTTGTCTCCTAACAGCTCCATACCACGGATAACTGGCATTTTTGGTACAGAATAGTTACCAATGCAAATCATTATTGCGTCAAATTGGTGGTCAGTTATTTTGTTGGTTTCAAGATTTTTCTCTCTCAGACTCCATTTTTCGTTTGGAAGAGGATGAATTTTTATTATGTGATGTAGAAACTGAAATAAACTAAGCTTTAATAAATAGTTGTATTTACACAAGAATTTTTACCTTTATGTGTGGATACAAATTGTAATGTTCAGCAAATTTATTCACATAATCCAAAACTTGTTCCTGGTTTATAAAGGATCTATCAATTCCATCATAATGGAAATCTTGGTATTCCATAAGTTCTTTTGGTAAGTTTGTTCTAGAAGCAGAGAAAAAAAAGATCTAAACAATTTAATGAATTTTCTTTGATTCTTCTCACAATAATCCTTGATACATAGACGAATGTATTGGCAAACCATAACTGTCCAATCCCGTTTGATCAGTGTAATTCCAAGTTCCTCCGATTTTGTCTGTTTGTTCAAATGCCAAACACTCGTGTCCACTATTCAAGGAATGCCTTAGAGCTGCTAGTCCAGCAGCTCCAGCACCAACTATTCCGATTTTCATATTCAGTTATTTATTTCTGAAAGAGGATAGTTTCAAATGCTTTGGCACAAATAATTAAGTATCTAGAAGTACTGGGTCTAGGTACTTGATGGCTTATCAGTTGACGTCAATAGATAGTAGGTAATTGTAAATATAGACATGTATTGTAATTAACATCTCAAGTTTGTCTGATGATTATGAACAATGAACTATAAATACCTAATCAAGAAGTCTTACAAATGAATTTGTATGTTATTCAGAAGTGACTTTTTTGAATCCAAATATTGAATTTCCACTCTAAATCGTTGATTGAATTATTATTAACTCAATAAAATCCCAAATTCATTTCAAACCTCAACCACTACGACAGGGTCTGACGTGACCCTACTATGAAGAGGTAAAGAAGAATGTCCTAATGTTAAAGTGTTGATAGCTTCAAATAAAGTTCCTCAATTTGGGATGGGTGAGGTGCCAGTTTGAACTTTTTCTACGTTTTTCATTATAATGATATTAATATTAATATAATTCTTGGATATTGATATAGCTACTAACAGAATTGTAAGTTCTATAATTTTCATGATTTATTTTGTTTTGACTCTTGCCCGAATATCCCAGAGATGGAACCTTTAACTTGTACTCCGTGGTGTACCTCTCAGAAATTATATTCTTGGCTTTGGCTTTGGAATGTAAATTTCATAAGTGAATTCTTGCAGAGTAGATAATATATCAATTCAAATCTTGCAGGTAATCATAATCTTGAATTTTATGATTATTGCTTTGTTATGAATAGTAAGCAAATACAAATTTTCTGATATTTTCTTTATATTCGAAACCTGTAGGAGTTGTTCGTGTCTGATTAGGCGATAATTTGAAATACGGACTCGGAACTCTTGCAAGAATTAATTTCGCATTTAGAAGTACCTACCACACCACGACTTCCAGATACACAACGAATTTATTTACTTTGTACCGTTATAGACAAGTAAGGTTTCCTGCTAATACCTACCTTTGAGTTTTATTATTTTAACTGTATACCCTGATGGTACCTACCTCTACAACATAGGTACAATTGGTTATCGGCAATCTTTCGTGTGAAAAAGCGAGCCAAGGCAGGAAGAACTGTTTAGCACCTTTTGTATCAGATAACGCCTTTTCAATACATACCAAATCGGGTGAAAATGAAAAGAAACGGTAGGCTAAATACCAAAATAAGTTATCACAGAATTTAATACACATTAACAATGACAAATAGGTAGTAGAAATACATAAATACAGGGTGAGTCCGAAATGAGTGCGCATTTTCTTATGATACATAGAGTACAGTGGGACAATCATTTTTTGCGTAAGTATGTACATACTTGTGTCCGTAAACGTCTCGTTCAAAAAATACAGAGTGTTGAAATTTTCGGAAAATTTTGACTTTTTGCCTTTAGATTCAAAATGCATTGAGCGATTTTGTTAAAATTTTCAGAGAGTGTTTACGTTTGCGATGTTCTCAAGCATCTTTCTAAAAATCGGTTTGAGTTCCACTTTTCCAGGACCGTACTTAGAACGACTCTTATTTTTTCAAGTGAAGTGTATCAGAGATTTTCTGAACAATACATTGATCTTTATTTTATGTAAGTGGTGGCGTATCATGAATTTATTTTCTCAACAAAATTGTTGTTAATCCTCATTATTCGGTTGCTAAATGACGGGAAAACGTTCCAGAAGTGTTTCATCTTCTTCTTCTAGCGAGGGCGAATATCTGAGGCGGAAAATGAAAAAATACCGACGCAAGTATAATGACCGGAAGTACCGCGGCCGTTTGCTACGATCTAGATCTAGATCTAACTCGATAGCTAGCAGGAGGAGGCGTAGATACTCTTCATCATCAGCATCATTCCAGTCAGGGACGAGTTCTCCCAAAAATTTGGGATCCTGAAGTCCCCTTGTGGTGGATAGACAATTTGTTGATTGTAAGTGCATTTAGAGGTTATCTATTTACTCAGGGGCCAACCAAGGTTATTGGTTGTATTATGTTTTGTCTTGGTTACAGATAAATATGTCGTTTGTTTTCCAAGAACGCCGTCAGACAGTGGCGGTTCGCCCATATGGGCAAGGTGGGCACCGCCACCCTGGAGAGAAAATGGAAAAATAAAAAATACCTTTAATCAAAGATAATCCCACTTCGGAGTAGGATTATCTTTGCTTTAATACAATATTTGAAAAGGCCGCGACCTTGAAAATCTAAAAAAAATTGCCCATGGCTGTTTTTTATTTTTGTCGCCCACCCTTACTTGGACACCATGAGCCGCCACTGCCGTCAGATTGATGTGTAAGTAACTACATCTGTTTGATTTTAGGTTTATCCACTTCTAATGCACCAGAGGTCGTAGATCCTCTTCAAACAGACCTCGATCAGAGGGTTTTAAGTGCTATTGGTGCAAACCGCAAAAAGTAAACGTTAGTGGGAGAACCACTATTGTCTGGTTAGCCAAACGGCGAACTGCAATAGAATTTGCTGCTTTGCCAAACTTGACAGAAACAATAATAAACAAAGTTGGTGACATATTTTTTTTGCAATATGGGCATATGTAGCATTTTGAAATAGTAAAAAATCTGGCAGCATTGTGAAATGAAGGATGTGGAGAGGCGTGATTATTCGGAGGGATTATTCTATTGGTTAGAGCCTGAACGACAGCACCAGTGGCGTGGCTATTGGTGAAACTCAATAATTTTTTTCATAATAATTTTTTGGTTTATTTTCTTGGTGTTTTCGGTGCCACTGAACCCAAAGACATGGTTGTCATCAGGCAGTGTCAGTGAAGTGTCAGTGAATATTCTTAGGTTACGCCCCACTTTTCTTCCCCCTTTCGTCTCTACCAAGTTACCACTTGCCAAACTATACATGATATTCTAGCCAATCATTGTGGTTTATTGTTGAAAACGGGATTGTCTGAGAATCAGTTGAACGAGACGTTGGCAAAATATCCAACACCAGAGAATTGCCCTTTTGTTGTTCCTCCCAAGCTGAATGCTGAAATCAGAGCTGCTCTAAATGAAGCTGGTCGTAAGAGAGATGAGAGATTAATTGCTCGTCAAAGAGAGGTTGGTGTCACCTTGACAGCACTAACAAGGGCTCAGTCATGGCTCAGTCAATTCTATTGAATCTCTGAGTATTGAATCGTCCAGATAAAGACGAAGTTACTTTGAATTTAATTGAACATTTGGGAGCTACAACATCTCTACTGTGTAAAATACACAACACTGATTTTGAGTATAGAAAATCTTCTATTTTAAGTTTTTCTCTGAATTCCAATAATCTTAAGCTTGAACTTAAAGAGGCATTGGCTGAAGTTCCTCTGGACGCTTACCTTTTCGGAGAAGATTTAGGTGAGCGAATCAAAACGGCTAAATCCATTGGCAAGTCAGTAGCTGATCTTAAGGCTGGCTCTTCCAAAGCGAAGTATGCACCACAGACCCTCAAGGCCCATAACCCAAACTCCTTGGGCCCACTTTGACAAAAGAAATACAAACTTCAACGCCGGAGTGGGCAAAACAGGTACTATCAGGAATCTCGATCTCGATTCCCAAAGGAAGAAGAGAGGAGGGAAAGAGAGAGAGGCAGGAACTTCCCTCCGCGGAAGTTCAACAAGTAGTAAGTCAGTTTGGAGGAAGATTATCTGCATTTAGATTATTTTGGTTAAGATGTAAAGTCTGTTTTTTTTTAAAAGACTTCTGCCAACATAGTTCTCTTACTAAATTTTTGACTTGGGGAATTATCTTAAAAAAAAACACACTTTACCTGTGATCCTTTGCTTCTTTCTTGGTTGATCCGTTTTTCCAGGCCAGTGTTGCAACATTTGGTTCCAAGGGAACCAATTTATTCACAAAAAGAAAAACTGAATATGACACAGGCGGTTAAACACTTATGTGATATTCGGGCTGTATTCAAGTGTCAGCCTAGTAATGGACAGTTTATTTCGAAAATTTTTCTAGTTCCGAAGTCAGATGATAGTTTAAGGTTGGTTGTCAATTTGAAAAAATTAAATTGTTTTATTGACCCCTGCCATTTTAAACTTGAAGATCGGAAAGTTGCTGAAACCATTCTTTCAAATGATTGCTATATGGCAACATTAGATTTGAAAGAAACCTACTTTCTTATTCCTATTGCAAAGGGGCATCGAAAATACTTACGTTTCTTTTTGATTTTAAATTGTATCAATTTAATGTACTTCCCTTTGGGCTTACTAAACTATCGTTTCATTTCTTAGAGTCGAAGGTTACTTATCAGTTGTGTATTTAGATGATTTTTGGCTTGTTGGCAGTAGCTACAGTAGCTGTTTAAAAAATGTTCAGAAAACTTGTAATATTTTACAAGAATTGGGGTTTGTCATAAATATTAAGAAGAGTGTTTCAGTTCCGGATAAGTCTTGCAAGTTTTTAGGTTTTATTTTTACCTAGGAGCTTATGACCTTGAGCCTTCCAGATGACAAGTGTAGGCATGTCTTGAAATTACTGAATAGATTTAATAAAATGAGGTCTTGTAAGATTAGAGATTTTGCCCAATTATGTGGAGTCCTGGTTTTAATATGTCCAGCAGTAGCATATGGCTGGGTGCATACTAAGTTATTTGAGAGGGTAAAGTTTCTTGCTTTGCAGAAGTCCTATATAGTAATAATTATGATAGTTCAATGGCTCTTTCTAAAGATCTTATTGTTGACTTCAGATGGTGGTTCAAAAATGTGGAAACTCACTTTTCTCCAATAAGGCAACATTGTTTTTCGTTAGAGATTTTTTCAGATAGAACTCCAATGGCCTGGGGGTCAATTTTTGACCGTTCGCAAATATAGAAACGTATGTAGATTGTTCCTAAATCTGCGAACAGTCACAAGTTCCGATTTTTGGCCGTTCGCAAAGTTTCGTATGCGTATATTTTCATTCGCTTTTCTGCGAGCGGTATTCTAGTCGCCTAATTCGGTTTGCGTATTCGTTTTTCTTGTGTCAAGTAGGGATGTTAGGTTGTTTTTTCTTGTCAATTTGTTTGATAGCTATTTTATTATTGAATTATTGTGTATCTACTACCTCTGTATCTGGGAGGGTGGTATATAAGGTATGCTACAGCACTTCGGCTACAATTATGCCCATTGTGCGCCTCCACACTCCACAATAGGAGAGGTCATCATTAGCTCGTCACCCAGCCTAGCGATTCTACGTAGGCGATGACGTCGCTGAAGCCTCAGATCTCTTCTAGTGATTGGTACGATTGGCCTAATCTGGCTCTGAGTATTGGCGAAAGAGCAGTGCAGTCACAGAGAATGTGCTTTACCGTCTTGTCTTCTTGATTACAAGGTGTATCGATTATAATATG